TAATTTCTTTGGCAAGATCCTCTCCAATCTTCCTGTGGCTCTCCCAGATCAACATACCCCAGCTCAGGAGTGCTCTATTCATTCCCTACAGATTATAGCACGTGTGTGTGTGTGTGTGTGTGTGTGTGTGTGTGTGTGACTTGTTTTCAGACAGATCTTTATCATGATCTTCCTGCTTCAGCCTCCTGAGTAGCTGGGACTACACAGATCACAGCTCTTCGCATAATACAGGATGTGTCTTACTTGGTGCCTTTGTGTAAGGGTCTCCCTTGGCCCCAGCTGCTTGTTTCTTCCTCTTCATTTTCTGTTTCTCCCAAACTTAGCAACTGTCTCAAGGACTCCCCTTCCCCAGGAAGCTTGTCCAAATGTGTTAAAGGTCATTTCATTGCTCCTCCAAAGCTTGCCCACTCCTTCTTTTATAGATCTCTGCTTAGAAGACATGGGGCTCACTAAGGCCAGGGGCTACAACTCAATCATTTTATAAGCTCAGCATTTAAAAACCCCTATAGGAGTATTTATTGATCTTTTAGGAATAGTGAATAAGTGAAATCTCTGTAGATCATATATGAGACCACGGATTATGATGGCTTCATTAATTTTGGCACTGTTGGATTTGTGAATCTCTGCTTATTGTCCTCCTTTGTTTGTTTTTCCCTATTGCTCAGCACTTCCATACATAGGTACAAGGCTCTGATGCTAATTAAAATTAATGACTGAGCATGACACCTCCATTTGCTAAGACAGTACACTTTTGTCATTTGCTTTACCTTCGTAAACAGCACCTTCTTGGCACCAGCATTTGTCTGTGGATTTTCCATGAGGATGTCACTTGCTCCTTTTATATCTTAATTCATCACATATTGCAGAGCATGTTAGCTGAATAGGATTTTTTTTTATGAAAATGTCACCAAATGCACCCTAAAAGGGAAAGCACCAGATGTCTGGTTGCTAAAAAAAAAAAAAAAAAAAGGCAAAATCCTGGTTTGTGAAGAGTCAGAGATGGCCAGTGCTCTCCAAGCATTCTGGGCCTGAGGATTGGCTCTTCATGCTCCTTGGGGACTTATAATTGACCCCCACATTCCACTTCATGCTTCCTTCTAGAAAAATTTGTCAGCTTTACTGATGATCTAAGGCCTAGAAACTGTGTCCATCGGTTTTCTCAAATTTGAACTGAAAATTGAGACCGATTCACTGGATAATTTTGATCAAAATAACATGTGTGTTTGTGTGCCATTCCAAGATTAACCAATTATTAAAACGCCTTATTGAGGTATGACTGATAATGCAAAAGCTGTATATATTTTATGTATACGATTTCATGATTTGAAAATAAGTGTACATCATCACTGAAATTTATGCTATAAACCTATCCAGCACCTCTAAAACTTTCCTCCCACTCTGTTTATTATTTATTAATTAACTTCACTTTTTTCTTCTAAGCTATCAAAACTGAAGTAATGCTTAATTATCAGCAAAACAGATCCTTCACAACTGAAAGTCCTACAAGGGGTCTTCAAAAAAAATTTATGTAAAATGTGTATAATGAAAAAAATCACGCATAGACTTCAAAATGTTTTACACCACAATGAATTCATACTTTATTTCCATTTTTCACCAACTTTTTGAAGTCCTCTCATATAAACTTACCATTGACCAAAAGTAATGTTTTCGTGCTCAACTTTGTGCAAGAGGTATTGAAATAAAGTATTATCTGATTTATAGCAAGGAATAATGGTGGTGGGAGTGGTTCCAGATAACAATGGTAATCATGAAGACTTCAGTATCAAGGCAACAAGTAGATTTGATGGGATTGCCATAAAGTAGAATTTTGCTTACTGGTCACCTTGAGATCAATATGTAATACATTATTTAGTCTAGGAAAAATGTGCATTTAAATCGCTTTTTACCGTTATTCTTTATTGCATGTGGGAGTAAATATCGTTTACAGATGGAGATAGTAGTCAAATTTAGAGAGAAGAAAAAAAAACCTTTCAAAACTGATAGCCAGACAATTTACTACATGATTGTTTAAAATACTGATTTACCAAAGCCTAACTTCACTTGAAAAATACTTTCACTGATAAGCCCAAACTGAACAAAACCTACAAGTGAGAGAAGTCTCACTGTTCAATGGGGAGGAGCCTAATTTCTTCATTGGGTTTTATTCTGTGAACAATGGACCCAAAGGCTACTTCTTAATTAGCTGGGCAAAGTTCATGAAAAAGTATACTGAAAAGTGACCAGAGAAAGTGGACTGGACCCTTCCAATCAGAAATTCAGAGAGCTGGGAGTAGGTCAGCTCACTTCCCACTCTGCCTTCATTTTCTTCCTCTTCCTCTTTGTGTATTAGAGACAGATTTCTTGCCATTGTTATCATGGGTTTCTATTGAGTACTAAAACAAAAGTCTCATTACTCTCCTAGGATATGAAAGAAACAAACTCAGTTTCTCTCACTATATACTCTCACAACATAAGAATACTTTTGTGACCTCTGGTCACCAAAAAGTGATCAATACTCCAAATAAAATAGAGAAAGGCTAGTAGCATGTTTCATTCCTGCCAAAAGAACCTCTAGGAACTTTCCTGAATAGGAAAAGATCGTGGTAAAGAGCCATAATGGCTTGGACACATGGGACGTCAGACCACTTCCCTTGTCTTCTACATAGTGAATCTAGCTATACAATGGTATTACGATTAATGGCCCCCTTTAGTGACCATCATTCTTGGTCCCTAAGTTCATATTGAGGTCAAGCTGTATTACAAAATAATATTAAGTATTTTTTTCTTTAAGTTAACAGGATCAAAATTTTCCTAATAGTTAAGGATACAGCGCAGGGGAGAGTCCCAGGAGATCAAGTGGTTATTTCCCATACCTTCTATAAAGAAAAATAATAAAATAACAGAAGAGGAAGAAATAGGCAACCCAGTGGCAGATCCCTGCCTGGGTGTCCCCCTTGGCAGTGGATAACCCTAAGGGAACAAAGTAGGCATCCCTAAACAACATCCTTATCAGAACTGCTAGATGCTAAGTGTGCTCAACCTTCTGGAAGCACCCCAAGGTTCTCGGGGTGAAGAGACCTCTTAAAAGTACTAGAGCTCAGATCTCACTAGAGGCATCCCTTGGAGGCAGATGAAGCTCTGGAACGATGGCCTAAGTGTCCCCAGTTTGCCAGGTCTTATTTGGACCCCAGGACCATGTCCTTAGCTGAACGTCTTCAGTCAAACTGAGAGACTCCAAGATCCTTGGAGTCCTTTTGAGAGTTCTGACCTATTTTCCTCTGGTTCTTTCTTGGAGAAGGAGGACACAGAAATGGGTAGCATATAATTAGGCCCAAGCAAGTCTTTGAAGAATTAGTGGGACTTTTGATTTTTTCCCCAAGAGGTAGTCATTTGATATGATACTTTCCTTTGGAGTTCCCATTTGGTCCCAAAATGAAAGCAATTAAAGGTATGAGAAAGATCGAGGGTGAGTTGTCCCTAGTAAAAACCATTACACAGAACAGCAGAGAAAATGGAGAAGAGCTGGAGAGAGGAGTCTATCAGAAAATCATCATCGTATTAAAGGCAGCGTATGGCGCGTGGCCCTAAAGAGATTTGTGAAATGGTCTACAACCAGTAGTAAAGGAACTGAGATAAAGAGCTTGGCGATAAGAGTTATAGGGACTAATCCTAGAGAAAGACTGCAAGTGAGACAACTAGTGATTGTTTTCAACAGGGTTGCTGTGGCCCTTGAAAGGGCAGACACCTGCTCAGGATAGTACTGAGAGCTGAGTCCTGGGAGCCAAGGTGGATCTCCCTTAGATTAAGGAGGACCCCCGTAAGGTAAAATTAAAGAAAAAAAAAAAAAAACAACCTATGGCCCTAAATTGGGTCTATTTATAGGCATGTTGTTCCCAGGAATGACTGAGGAAACACGGAGGGGTGATAGATAGAAGCCATGGATAAGGTACATATTTCCCTGCCTTTTTATAGGTTTTTTCTGATTGGATTAGTTCTTGATTCCCCCTAAAAAGTTCTCCTTACAAAAGCCTGCAGAAACAACATCCCTTTTCTTTATATTTCCAAGGTACTTGGCTTAACTTAAGGAGTAAGGAGACTTCCCCCCCAACACACACACACCCGTACCTCCCACCCCCAGAGAATATTCCTTTCATATTTAGGCAGGCTGGCAGGGGAGGGAGAGCAATAGTGAGACAGGAGTGAGGTTCCAAAGTGAGGTGGGAACATGTAAACACCCAGAATCTGACAGACAACAAGTGGCTGAGACCGAGTCTGAACCAGTTAGAACTAAAATGGCACCCCATGACCCAAGATGGCACCTGGAATGACCTCTGCCTAACCTTTGGAGTCATCTCACCCTCTTTGTACTACAGTATTAGCATGCCAAGTGATAATCCCATCTGTGCCATGACAGTGTAGAATAATAATGGCAATGCTAGAATTCACTCTAGTAAGACCAGAAAACTAGAAGGACAGCAGTTTCAGGAAAGTCACTACCCTTTTCCCTTCAGGCAATAATGCTCCCTTTTTCTTTGAAAAGGAATGAAACTGCTCACCCATCTCCCCCCAAGTGACAGCTCCCCTCATGAGCAGCCCACTCTATACTTTCCCCGCCTTCACCATTCCTCAATGACTTGCTCTTGAAATCTTTCCTATGCAAAGCTAAGACTCTCACATCCCAGGTAGAGACCCCCATGAGTTTGAGTATCCCTGGCAACAATAGTGCTTCTAATAAAAGAAAAGGAAGGGGCTAAAACGCAATTTACAGTTTATTCAAGTTTTCCAACAGATACAGATGAGTCTTTGCCCATTCCTACCTCTCAGGAGTGTACTTCCACTTCTACTTAATAAATTACCTTTTCTTTTCACTATTTTGTTTATTTCTTTGTCCCAAAACACCAAGAACCTGATTATCATCACAGAAGTCATACCACAACAACAACATTAAATTGTTTTCACAAAGATTACTAATGCTTTTTTTTTTTTTTTTCCTGTTCCAGCCACAACAGCTATCCTTGGCAGAGCATCCCAGAGTCTGCAAAGAGTTAACCCAGGCCTAGGGACAAGTAAGAATTTCAGCACTTTTATTCCCTTCATAGATACTGTATTTCCTGTTTCAGTATCATTCACGCCACTATCCTTTCTCTATTTTATTTGACGTGTTGGTAAATGAAAGAGACTGAATTGAAATTTTATAAGCACACAAAAACCTTTTTGTTCAGGATTTATTTTTCAACTTCTCTGAAAGGCACTTTCTTTAACTTTCTATTTTGATTATGCCAAATTAATGAAAGAAAAATAAATGAGTTACTGTGGATCAACAATTATTTATTGAATTTACAAATCCTTGTTTTACAAATCCCTTTTTTACAAATACTTATTTATTATTGTTATTTTAAAGTATTTATCAAGTGATTACATTGGTACAAGGCAAGGTTAAACTTGTCTCTCCAACCAAATTACCTTATACTTCAAAATTCTGTCTTCATGTATTGCTAGGTCTTTTCCTTAAAATAACCACATATCAAGAACCAGCAGTTAGCGTAATGGCTATGTTGCTGGACTCCCACGTAGTCGACCACGGTTCACATCCCGGACCCGGTGGCTTAAAACTCACGCCAGGCGCGTGTGCATGCGTGCCCAAGATCCCGAGAGGAGAATAGAGGCGAAGGGATTGCGGCCTAACCATCCCCCCTGGGGGGGGATTTCTCGCTTTCTGTCTCTCTGTCTCTCTCTGTCTGTCTGGTGAGCGCACACGCCCTATAGCGAAAACCTCTCCAAAAAAATAAAAATAACTTGATCCTTTGATAATCTTCTTTGTGCCTTGGGGCTTTTTTTAACCCCTAAAACAGAGAAGCTCATTAAACCTACCTCATAAGGTTGTTGTGAGCATTATAGCTGTTGACGTATCTAAAGTAGGTAGAATAGTATCTAGCCCCATGGTTATTTTACATAGTGTTTATTATAGTCTCTCATCACTTTTATTTTACTCCAACATGTATTAGATTCAGCCTCTAAAATAGTTTATTCTCAACTATATTTTGGACTATAAAATTATGTAATTTAGTTTACTATAATGTGGACTTTTGAGTGCTTCCTGTCCCTTCTTAACTGAACAGTCCTTAAGGATAGAAATTATATCATACACATCCTTATATACTACAGTATCTGTTAAGTACCCAGTACAAGCTGAGTGTTCAATGAAAATTGTTTCAGTTTGCACATACACACACACACAAATGCAAACAAAAAATGAAAGCCAGGCTCTCCCCAGTATCCCCACTATCTTAAGTATACTTAAGTATACTTTGGTTACTGTGAAGTACTTGAATGCCCTTCAGCAGTCATTTATGAAAGGGAAAAAATAAAGATATACAGGAGGAGAAAATTCTCCTGTCCGTTGCTGAGTGTAAATACTTTCAGTCTTTGCCAAAAACTTTCCCCAGAACCTGCAAGTGATGCAACTAATGTCAGACCTTGTTTTGGGCATGTTATAAGACATCTTTATGGCATCTCTGTGATATCCTGTTGTCATTTTAGCTGCCAAGGGAAGTGTAAATAGCCCTGCTCCTGAGCGATGCCCAGACTGCCCCAATAAGAGCTGAATGGCCCTCTCAGCTTTAAGCATTCTTTTTCTGAGGTACTGTGCCTTTAGGGCTAATTCGTTGACAATTCAGCTAGAATAAGCACAACATAAAGGAAGTGTGTCCTTGCAGGGATGGAGTCTTAGCGTGATTGTGCAGCATTTATTTGTTACAGAAAACTGAGCTTTGGACATGTCTTAGAGAACAGCACTGACATTGAAGCCGACCTAATTCTCGACGGTCCACTTGTTTATAAACAGTTCAGTAAATAATTCAGTAAGTAAACACAGATTCTTGTGATTCCTTTAAGGAAACACTGTTTATGTTGGCTTTTTCTTACACTCAAACGAGTGGTAAGCCTTTCCTGACTCATAAAATCACTGGTCTCCAGACAACACCAAACATCCCAGGGATACTATTTATCCCCCCCTTCCTTGCTTCACTGAACTAGGAGGCGGGCAGGTCGAATTATTCTCTTTATATAAGAAGAAAAGGAGGTACAGAGAAAATGACTTTCTTAACTCTCTTAACAGACCAAGAGAGTAAAGAAGATATTTCCAGCACAATGTGTTGTATCTGCTTCTACATAAAGTGTAGGTAATATAGATATATTGCTAATTCAGACAGTGGTGTTCACTCAACTTAAAATATGGACTTTGCAGTGACTATTTTTTATCCTGAAATATCTGCATAACAGCTGCCATTATTTTCACACATATCAGTTCCTTATTATACCTGCCTTGCTTTTTAGTTGTTGTGAGATAAGAATTCTTTGGTAAGATAAATGCAAGGTGCTATTTGTTTAGTCATAGTCAGTGGTGAGTAGATATTCAGATATTCAGCACTTAGTTTACAGGAGACCTGTTTCTCTCTGTGCATATGCTTAGGCCACTGTTTATGAAACCTCTGGAATGGAGGTCCTTTCTAGAGCTAGATAGATGATTGATTGATAGATAGATAGATGATAGATAGATAGATAGATAGATAGATAGATAGAGGCAGACAGATAGCTATTAAGAGCTTCTACTTCTTTTGAAAACCAAACAATACAAAAATAGTGAGAAATCTGTTTGTAAGCATGGGGCTTTTTTCTTTGGTAAGATAAATGCAAGGTGCTATTTGTTTAGTCATAGTCAGTGGTGAGTAGATATTCAGATATTCAGCACTTAGTTTACAGGAGACCTGTTTCTCTCTGTGCATATGCTTAGGCCACTGTTTATGAAACCTCTGGAATGGAGGTCCTTTCTAGAGCTAGATAGATGATTGATTGATAGATAGATAGATGATAGATAGATAGATAGATAGATAGATAGATAGATAGAGGCAGACAGATAGCTATTAAGAGCTTCTACTTCTTTTGAAAACCAAACAATACAAAAATAGTGAGAAATCTGTTTGTAAGCATGGGGCTTTTAAAACCTTAATCTTAGGCATGAGTAAATTTTTAAGGAAGTCTGAGGAGGGTGATTAAGCTTCTCCCTAAAAATTCCAGTGTGCTGTGTATACTCTATAATATCTATTCCTGGCATAGTTATTTTTTACCAAAGCATAACACAAAGTTTTCAAGAAGAAATCCAAGACAAACATTCTTTCACCCCTGTGACCCCCAGGGGGTAGTGAACACTTTTTAGTGACTCTAGAAAGCTGATACATCCCAGAGTTGGTTGTGACCTTTAAGTTCTCCCAACTTACAGCCCACTGATTTGCTACTGAGTTCCACAGCTTAAAAAATCAACTCTTTAGTCACCACTCTCAACAGAGCCCCAGCTTCTACCTACAGGAGTCCTTTCCTGGGAGAAGACACCTGACTCTGTCACGCCAGCAGAAAGGCCCTTTGTCTGCAGCAACTCCTCCTTGTGATAACCTAGTGTTTCTGCTTTTGTCTCAAGTAATATACGCTGTCCGTGGAGGAAAAAAATCTTGGAATTTACTGTCTAGGTGTGCCCTGAACTTTAATACACATTAATCTGTATATATGCGAAGAAAACAAACATTTAATATTTATAAAAAGATGAATGGTTTTAACAAAGAGTTTGAACATGGGTACCACTTAACCATAGTTCAACTAGTAGAGTACCTCAGGACAAATGAGATAATGTGTCTTTAAACCAAAAGTAACTCAAAGGGTGATCATATGCAAACAAAGACCTTATCACGTAGACCACAGGTTCACAAGCCTAAAATATTTACTGTCTAGCTCTGTAAGAAAAACTATGCCCACTTGTGTTCTAAATAGAAAAATCTATTTCTGTAGCATACTAATTTTTGGAATACCAGATTTGTACTGGGGACCACCTTTCAGTCTCTTGTAGCAAATTATCTGTACTTTGGTAACTGACATTAATGAGAATTCAGAATTCACTTTGGGACTTCCCTTCATAGTCAACTCTTGAACTATATTATAAAGAAAGGACTAACTATATCAGCTAATGAGTGGGGACATTAATATATTTATTATTATTAAATATACTCCATCAAATGAAAGCTCAACCCCTATAAACGCTTCTGATGTGTATAACAGACAGTTATTTGAAGCTGGCCTGTCCAGAGCATGTTGTCATGATCACATCACAGGTACCGCATGGAAAGTTAGTATAACATGCAGCTCTGATTAGGGGCAAACTTGACATTACGGATTTGTAGATCTTGCATAAACTGATTGCTACCACTGAATTCATGCTGAAGAATAAGAAAATGTTCACTATAAAAGACTCATACACCTGAAAGGAACCCCACAGCATCATAATAGACATGTTTTCAAAGATGAGACCACTCATAAGTCCTTGAGGAATTCTCAAGTGTCACTCATGTCTTTACCGCTGTAGGTTAACTTTTGATTTTTCATGTGTCTTGGAAAAGCAGCCTTTCCTTTTTCTTCCTTTTTCTCTCTCTCTTAACATTTCTAAAACCCCAAATTTGAATCACTGTGAAAGCAAATATTTGTGGAGAGCCCATCTGTGCTCTGTGTTGTCAGCACATACGGCTGTGTGCACCTGCCACCATGAAGCTCTGCTGGGCAAATCCAAGCGAGTGTTCAGAGAAATGGAGAAACACCTGAGGCCATCCTGACTATGACTGAACTTCTTTCTGCAGATTCCAAAACCTTTGATGTTGTGCACCATTTGCCTTGAACCGCAAGTGGTTTGTGTATACACATGGTATCTTTCTTTTGGGGTGGAGTCTTTCTCATCTTTAATTGTCCTGCGCCCCTCCTCATGCAAGTGAGGGCCTTGCACAAAATAAAGCTTATAAATATTTGTTAAATGAGTACATACTAGGTTCCAGGAATTACAGAGAACAAATTAAAAAGGCAAGAGAAAGGAGAGGCATCAGCCTAGGTTTCATAATGTTCGAGTTTGGCATTTTTTCTTCAGTGCAAAGACTAACCCAGATAAGTAATAAAACTGTTTGCTCAAGCCTGAGAGCAGTAGATGCACTTCCTCCTCTGGCAGTTTTCTTTTTCATGGAGTCAAAGTAAACAA